GTTATAACAACATGAAATTTCACAAATTCTTCTTATACATATCATATACTAAATATAACGCAAAAGCTGTAGAGGTTTTTATATTATTTCATATGTTTCAAGAACAATACAAGATATATTTTGAATTTTGAAATAATCCCCGAGAATATGATTCTTAAACAAATAACGAATTTATAGAACATTCTTAATTATACAAAGTACATTCTTCAAGATATCTTCTCATTGTAAACACAAAGAAAGAAGTGATAAAAGTAAAGGCATGATTGTAGTAGGTTGTGTGTCTTATCTCGAAGATCATTTCTGTTCGTATACATCGAGTATGACAATGCTGCTATAATATTACTGCGCGATCAAATTCTTTACACGCTTCCTAAGAGGTATGTCTAATGTTTTTTCAAAGATCTTCGAAAATTACATAGTCCTTGTGCATGAAGATTGGTATCATGGTGTCCTCGACCTTCGATGCTTTTAGCGGGCTTTTAGCTTTTATCGCCACGCCCTATATCAATTACAATTGGTTGAAGTATTTCAAACGTACAATATTGATCCTCATCTATTAACAAACCTTTAGTACCTTTCATACCAATGTCCAAAAAGTTTTACATAGTTTACTATTTCATATAAGGCGTATACAGCATTTGAGAAAAAGAAACACCTGATCATTAATACATAGTAATTAATAAGTAAAACATTACGTATTCAATATTATCATATAATATATATTATTCTGTATACGTTAAATATAATGCTACGATATTTAAATATATTGTACAGTATACAATATCTACTTAATATAATAACTAAATTAATAATTAAATTCGCGAGAACTCCACTATGATTTATAGAACAAAGGAGAAATATATCTAAAATGTTTCTGTTACTAGTCCAGTTCGTAAAAATTTCCGATCCTCTAATTTCGAAATATTTCACCGAGACTGTTATGATTGCGAGGTAAAATAGTGATTCAAAATTATCTAATGGCGGCTTACATCAATTTTAAAATCTCAAAGATCGGAGTAAAAAATAAGAGAACGCGGCGTTGACCGACCTGTTGAGACTAGTATACTCGTTGCATCAATGGAGCATTACGAGTGTATGCGTTCGACCTGTAGTAGGAATCTCCACTTTTCCTTTCACTCTTTGATCGTTCGATACACGTGCACATCATGCTTTGTTGCGTGTGAAACACGACGCAGTTCCGTGTGAAAGTGTCACACTGATCATTCTTATTTTCACTTCTCATAGTAATAATTTAATACAAGAATGTATAATAGATCGTAATCGTATTCAAATCAAATTCGTAGATCAGTGATTTTAGATTATGCTATCAAATTTATATTTAATAAATTATGTATATAAGTATCATGATAAAACCTTAGATTTAATGGATGAAATAAATTTTTATATAGGCTCCATTTCTTCAGTTATGTTAATAACAATATGAAATTGCATAAAAATTCGCAGTAAGAATTTTAGTAGTAAGTATGTAGTATGTGTTTACACGCGGGCCTAATGCGTGCAAGAATGCATGCATGTATAGCATAATATATGTAGTAGAGATATGCTGATATCCGTAAGCCCGTAAGGAAATCAGTCTTTGCTTCTCTACACTCTACAGTCATCTCTATGACGTCACGAAACTTCAGTCTGCTAAGGAATGGCGATCGAGCACTTCCTCAAGCTTCATAGTTTCCTGGCCGCGCCATCGATCACCGTAGATCATCGATCATCATTATCGATGATCGTGCGAGTGATCGAAAAGCGTGAACAAGATCGAGAAACAAAATCAAAGACGAGACTGCAGTAAGTTCTCATATCGAATAACGTGATCCACGATTTGTTCGATCGATTTTGAATATTAACGATTATACTTACTTTTAAGTCTCCGTGAGAGACGTTTGATCTAGTTCGAATTTTGTAAAGAGATGAAAAGATAGAATTATTGACTGGATAATATTTCATTAATACATACATATTTGTCACGTGACAATTTACAAATTACAAATTGCAATTTACGTCTTTTTCTTCAAAAACTACGAAATCGTTTATATCATAAGAAAGGTGTAATTTATATTTTGCAACTTAGTTATTGAACCGTTAGATGGCAACACTCTTCACAAAAATTATTAAGATATATGTATACCATTTCTGTTTTGATTGTGTATCAATTTCATAGATGAAAGTATTTTTGGAATATAACATAAATAATATATTGTATAAATAAAAATTCCAAATAAAAATATTTTAATATTCATTGTTGTACGAAGTGTGAAAACACGACAAGTAATAAAACATTTTACCGAACTCCTGTTATGATATTCATCTTCGCTAATGATTTATATTTGTATCATCATAAAAAACATTTAAATTGAGCTATTAGATATATAATTTTATTTATCTTTTCTGACTTGACTCGTACAGAATATATAAGGATGATCTTCTCTTTTAAACATCGTGTCATCGTTTTAACGAATCGAAACAAATTTCATTCCCTTCCATTACCATGACTCTGACACGCAGCTTTGAACTATCGGTATTCAAAGAAAGTCCAAGTTTCATTACGTTCAGTTACATTAAATTATCAAATTTAAAAGAATATGAAAATTATTCCCATTGATCTTATCGTTAGATTATTCAATGTCCATCCCTGTTAAAAGTCTGCTCCTAACCTTAAAACTAGTCTCTTATTAGACATCAATCTTTTCAATCATTCTGCGTGATGAGTGAAACAGCAGTTTTACGATTTGTTTCACATATTACATAAGACGTGTATGTAGGTTTATTCGTGGATTATTCTCGCCATAAAAGAAATTCCGTCTCGTTACGTCCAATATCATCATCATTATAAATTAGAAGATTGAATGAGAGATTTGTAATCCTAATTGGTCGGTGATTATTGTACTTACTATATTCATAACAAATTTATACATCATTTTCATGAAATTGTATTAATATTTATCATGTGATACATATCCATAATTAGATTGCGGATTGTTATGTAATTTTGTAAAATTTAAAGGCACAAAGATGCACACAATGTAGGTATATACATAATAACATGATGACATACCAAAATATATGAAGTATTCAAAGTAAAACATCTGTTAATAGAGAATGAAACAAATCTCTATTTAAGTTTTATTTCTTTAGTTGTATTCATAAAAATTTGGATCTGCATAAATATCCGCAGTCTGTACATATATATATATATTCTACCCCTATTTTCCGCTACCGCTATTTTCTACCCCTATTGTAAAACTTCATTTTCATAATTTAAGCATAAAGAGATTAAAACCGAAACGTTTTCGAAAGGTAGAAATACCAATGGCATTTATGTATATCACACTTCTGCAATCTTATAAGAATCCTTGAGTGGTGATTCGAAACGAATAATTCGAAACATCTGAAAGTCAGAGATGAAGATCGTGCTTGATAATAAGTTGTACATGGAAGCATAAAGTGTTCGAAAACCATGGAGGACTACCACACGTACAATTTATTCTTGCCATTGTCTCACGCGTGCAAGATCACCGAAGTGCAATATTCGCGTATAGAATTCTACAGAATCCGCAGATGGCAGTTCGCTAATGTATTGCCAAGCAATCGATTACATAATCTCTATCTTGTAGATTGTAGGGGAACACGAAGTGAGTCATCTGTCGAGCGAATTACCGTTGTGTACTCATGCATGTGCAAATCGACATGTTCGTCGAAGTGTACGATTCGATCTGTGTTTCCTGCTTATTGTCAAGCGCGATATAAACATTCGACACTATTGAAAGTTTCAATCCGATTCTACTGCGTTTCGAAAATATTCCACAGGAAGCTGATTCCACGATTTCCACAACGCATAGACAAAATTGCACCTTGGTGATCGTAAAGGAATTATAATTTGATGTTTCGCGACGCTGTACCACGTGCTCGCTCACGCTGTTATTAAATGTACGTATAGCGCGAGTAATAAACTATTTTTAATACTTTTTTGTTGATATTTTAAGTCGCATTTAATTTGTCAAGATGAAATTTAATTTATATTGTTTTTTCAAATTAAAGATATCCAAATGGATTGTATAACTTTATTATTTTGATAAAAAGATAGTATTTTTCGTAAAAATAATTATATTTGTAGCAAAAGTAATTCACTATATTATTATAAATAATCATTCTAAGAATAATGCTCTTTCAAAAATGAAGATCGAGAATTTACATTTTTTGCATCATTACGTCAATCCTTTTCTTTGCTTTGTATGATTTTATGCATTGACGCGCTACCATTAAATATTATAAATTACATGCTAACATTATTATGGATCTTGCTTAATCTAGTGAACGCTTTTTTTCGCTACTAGACATAAAAATAAGTAGAAATATATTTTCGTGAAACGTTTCCAGGTAATGTTAAGATATTGTTTATTGCGGTCTTAAATAAATATCAATTACAAAATATCTTAAATGAATATGAATTACAAAACATTAATTTTTAGATAAAAAAATTATATAAAGTTACTTAATGAATTATGGAAGTTTCCGAAGGGTAATTGAAAATCGCGCATTAGATTATGAAATCTTATTCCTACTTTGCTTGGCCTTTATCCAATCAAGCATCATTTCAAAGGTTTCTATATACCATTAATTACATCTCAATGGCATAACCGGCTGTATAGACATATTCTATGTACTATTATGTCACTTGCAGTCGCCTTTAAATATAGTTCTCATGGCTAAAGTCATAGTATTAATTATACTATCGTCATCCTTGGATATTTAAAAAAAAAATCATCAAATTGTATCATATTGATCAACACGATGCAAAACAGTTAAACATGTAGCTTTAAATAGAATTCTTCTGAATTATTTACTGGCACATTAGACATATTAGAATATTATAATATCAATTTAATGTAAATATTATTTTGAATTCTTCCATATAGAACGATTATTCTTAAAAAAAAGATAAGTGTATATATTGAATTAATTTTGAAATTTAAACAAATTTATAATTACATAATTCAAATAGAATTCATTTATTTCACTAATACTACTATATTATTGCAAATATAGATAAGATGAAATTTTATCATTAGGTGATGATAAAGTTAGGTCACGACGAGCAAGGTCTCGGTTTGTTGTTGCGTCACGATGCAATATCTTGATTATAAAGCACCTATATTACATGATACCTGGCCACACGACCTGCACACGTATTTTCACGTCCAGCAGAAGAGGTTTGGATCGGGGCCAAATACTGCGATCGTATGACTAATTTTCAATGGCTGACTTTTAGTACTTCAGCGGTATAATACATCTGAAATCGTAAAGCCAAGTTGACATATAATAAGTTGACATTACGTGATAAAACATCCCCTCAAACGCTTATGCAACAAACACGACGTATAGAATTCTCATTAATTACGAAATAATTATTGGATCGAGGTGAGTGTTGAATTTTCATTGGAATTTTTCGGCGAAATTTCTCCATCGGTCATGGAGAGTTCTTTAGTTACCATTTAAAATTGTTAGTGGATCTTAACGTTACATATAGTATCAGAAGAATCTTATCAGAATTACTGTAACGATCGTATTTAAAACTCGATAAGTTCTAAAAATATATCTGGTTAATACATATGGGTTTTATTTATTAACTGCCCAATTTAGTTCTTATTGGGAACAATATGTAGTCTATATATATATTTTACGCTGAAACAGTGCCTTTGAATCAGACACGGTCTATTTATACTTACATCGAATGATTCATGGTTAATATTACATTAAAAAAAAAAATATGTCGAATTTTAAGGATAATAGCACGATCGAAAATTCTACTCGATTAATGATGATCTATTTATATAGTGCGATTATTGGTTGCGAGAAAGGAAAACGAGTTGATCAACTTTTCGGATGGGAATACAAACATGTGAAGGGAATTCATGCTTACTATAAAAGGATATAGGTAAACAAGTCCAGAGTACAGCCTTGCTCGGTAGGTTGATTGTAAAACGAAAAATGGAAAAACTTGACAATACCGACCCACAATTGGCACAGACGATAAATCATGCTGAAAGAATATTTCAAACCGATTTCAACGTGAAAAAAATAAATATTTTCGAAATCATAAATATCCTAACACTCTACGTAATTTAAAAACCTTATTTATTAGAAATTTAAAAAATCCACAAAACAAAAAAAACTTACTAGGTTATATATGAACATAAAATAATACGAATTTTATGATGTTTCCAATATACATATTTTTTGACAAAACATACTTTTTATTTTAGACAATCAGTGATAAGGTCGATCTCAACTTCAATCATCTTTATCTATGAATGTCTGAAGAAAGTACAGTAAAAACGTTCTCTGTCAATCTTCGCTTCGAATGTCGCGTGCCGTTTAAGTGCGCGAAAACCAAATGATTTCTCGAAAGAACCAGAGAGGAACGTTCTAGTAGCGTCTGGTGTGTTCGTTCGATTACTTCCGTGAGAGTTCGGCTGCGCTCGGTGACAGTCACGTGGCTCTTGATACAGCCCACACAACAAATATATTTAAGTTGCTCCGGGAGCGCGCTGACAGTTTCGCTATTGACCTGAAACGAGTGTGTTCTGTAACGCGTGCATCTTGAGGATTTTCTCAAGAGAACGTTTCCTTCTTCTAATGCAGAACCTTTTATTTGCGAGTGAGTGATACAAGTGTAAAATAGACGGAGTAACGTCGATAGTGATCCAATTACATAATCTGAAAGCAAAAGGAAGAGAAGACAGAAAACTAGAGTGCTACCTAGAGAAGATCGAAGAGAGAGGCTAAAGACAACTGTCGCACGTAATTGACTCGGGTAACTTTGCAAGATCTTTAAGCAAAAAGAGAAAGAAAACGAAAGTGTGTTTTTTCCAAACGTTTATTTTTTCGTTTCGCCTTTTTTGTTAACACGCCGTCGCTGTTGTTTAGTGAGCTTCTTGGCTGATCTTTTGAAAACGTATAAACAAATATATACATAAAAAAAACTTAACCTGCAGAGCGAGCTCTTAACGGTAAAAGAGGCACGAACTTAACCTCTTAGTGTGTGAGACAAAAAATACCAGCATATTAAAAAAAAATCGCATCTCCTGAGAAAAAAGAAGGAAAAAAGGAACACCACGTATTCGAAATCAGGCACGGATCAAAGGGTCCAAAAAATGGACTCGCCTGTCATCGTGGACAAAGCATCCGAATTCGGAGAACCGATTGATTTGGATCGTCCGTTTCCCGTAAGTGGTGCCATCTTTTTTTTTGCCATTCCCATCGTATATTCCGCAGTACATAATGCATATGTATTTATTACAACCGGAACGAATATACGATTTTTAACGTGTACGGTTAAGATTAATGGACGGTATACGTTATTTTTATTCGTCGATATTTCGATGTCTCGATATTACACTATAACTCGTTCGTTACTCGAACGTACACTTAAGTATCAGACAAGAATAATGTAAAGAAGTTGTGTTAATCGGCTTATGACGTTGCTCCAAGCCTGTATGTCGAATCATGCGATCTAAACGTTGATATAGTCGACTCGTGACGTTTATGCCAAGACTTTTCCAGATCGTTCTAAAGTAGTATTGCGCACCTTTTGATTTGTTTTACTTCCTTTTACATGTATAGGTTATCATCGATTTTTCGATATAATTTGCATATTTGAATTATTATATGATTCGTCTCTATTTAATATAATGAACCTTTATTTATTTATTTTTTTGCGTTTTATTGTTTTACTATCTGTATTATCTTTTTTTATTGATGAGTTTGTTGAACGGATAGTATAATCGATGTTACCCTATCCCATGGGAAATTTGGGTGTTGTCTAGTTGATAGGAAACGTGAGGAAGGTATACGCCTATCGATGTTCTCGATTCTTGCGTTTAACGTCGGTTTCGACCTTCTCTCTTGCGTTCTGCGGGATCGCGTGGAAGTTAGAAATAGAATTTGCGAGGAATGACGTAGGTTTCACCGTCTCGAAAACGTCGACTTGTCGACCCGTGGATTTCACACTTTCTCCGGACGAACAGAACGGATGAACAAATTCCTCGCTAACTTGATGTTACTATAATACAATTTATGTACTCTCGTTACTGATTTCAGTCAAAATGAAATTTGGGATTCTTAAAATTACAACATTTCTTTGTTCGATTATTTAGGAGTTTCCTAAATTGGCAGGAAATGCAATTTTGGAACTATTTCGTAAGTGCTATGATAGTTTTATAATGACGATTTACAATTCACGTATATAAGGATATATAGGTATAAATATCCATTTGCGAAACTCGGCTGAAAATTTGATATGAAAAAATATTTATTTACTTTATAAAATCAGTATAATTCAATCATGTACAGTTAAGTACAAAATATAATATAAACATTGACTAGCTACATATAATGATATATTCCAGATACCCCTATACATTTTTTTATAGTTTACTTGCTAAAATGAAATATAGGTTTTTTGACATCTTGACTGGAATCTTAATGTTATGTAACACGAAATCTTCTTATGACTTTATTACACTGATTTATTAGTATATTATTTTTCCATAACTTCTAATTATTTGACTATTAGTTTGTAATACTTTTGCTATAGTTTTATCATATACATGTATTTCGTCATTTCTCTTTTACTGTCTGTTTGCTATAAGAACCATTACTCGTTTTCTATGAATTTACCGTAAATTGAAGTCTATACTTCTACTTTAAGTCTCCAGATAATTTTTTCATCGTCAAGATCTTGCAGAAAAATCGTCTCACAGATTACTTTATTATATTATCATTTTCATGGTACTCCAACCGGAAGTTATCAGTGCAATGGCACTCGTACAAATATTCGATTTGACTGGCGTCTTCTTGTCTGATCAAGCCCCAAGCTGGTCCTGAATCTTTCTAACGTATTCTCCTAGAACAAGGTCCATTCCTCCAAAACATAAGCGTGTTGACGCTAATAATAAACTAACGGAGACGTTTCTCCTCCGTAGCTCTGTCTGCGACCAAAAGGAATCAGATAGAGAAGGAAAGAAGCAAGAAGAAAAAAAGACGAAAAACGTAACATAATCGCGGTCCATTCGCTGACTACGCGCTTTATTTCCTCTCGTTTATGTCCGACCAGTCGGCCGTATTAGGCTTGCTTGAATATCTTGCGGCCATAAATGGTCTTTTCTCTTGAAATTCAACTCTGATCATCGATAATGTTCATTGTTCTCCAAAGAATTTTCTCAATCGAAATAATAGCACAAAAATTAATTGTTTCAGTTTATTACACTATTGTTTGGAGTATACTGCCGATGATACTGGAAGGATCTTTGAGGTTAGAATCGAAGCGAATATTGCTTAGGAAGATTAGGAATCTTGATCTGTAAGATCTCGTGCAGTAAAAGTTCAGTTCATATATTAAAAGGTATAATAAAAGGAGAAATAACGATTATTTGGATAGCTGCATGTTGTGCTTTTTGTAACTGTAGTTTAATCATAGATTGTGGTATAAGTATTTAGTATTTTAATACTCATAGTTTGATTTCTGATATTTGAGAAGAACAAATCTACCTTTTTGTATTCTTATAACGTTTATTTATATATTTACGAACACTAATTTTTTTTGGTAATAAGACCTAAAAGTAATCCTAACCTAACGCTAACTACAGATTAAAGAACAGAGATGAAGGAATTTTCTTAAAAATTTCCTATTTCTATATGGAGAGTGAAATGCGTTTTATTTTTATTTTTTATTTTTCATATTTTATTTTTCTACATATCTATCGTTTTTATCGCTATTTTTATATTATAACAATTCTGCTAATTCTAAATACCTTATATATGTAGGTTATTACAAAATAACCCACATTAACTATTAAAACGAAAGCAAAGTTGTAATCAGTCATTTGTAATGTTTATATTTGTCCACATTGGTCAACTGCACGAGAGCTTCGCTATATCGTTTCCACCATTAATTATACCACGTCTAATTGAGCTAATTGAAAGGAAATTGTCTTCTCAATATCATTTACGGCTTCTCGAAAAGACGATAACAGAGTATTTTTACCTGTGATCTAACCGGCTGCCCCTTTTCACGTAAAAAAGAAACCGGTTTCGATAAACATTATTTTTAATACTATCGATGATGATGCCTTGACATATGTCGCGTAGGCGTTATCCATCCATTGGAGAACGGAAGTGAAACCAGATTGGTATTCCTCTTTCACTCATCCATTATGCGACATATTTCCGGTATTTCATAAAAATCTTCGCAGTATAAGATTTCTAGGATCTTTTACATTACAAATTTTAATAATTTCTATTTCTTCAGAAGAAATAGTGTAAATCTTTTTCATATTCCGTCATTGTATTTTTGAGTTTTAATAATTTTGTATTGTTAATGATCTTAGAAACTTATTCCTTCAATTGAGCTTTTGTCTTTTACTGTTGCTGTCATCTTGGTACTTTTCAGAAACTAAACATTTTTGCTGCGAATATTCATGACTTCTATAATTAGATTTTTCCAAAATTCTAACACTCTTGTTCATTCTTTTTCAGTGCCCTTCCAGATTCGAGAATGCTTTTAATTTGTTTATTCCAAAATCATAAAATTTTAATAGTGAATGTTGCCCAGACTTTCAAAATTTCCTCATTCTCTCCAAAGGGGAACACAATCCAATTTAATTATTTTTTCTTACTAATACAAACTGAAAATAAAAATATTTAGAAGATAGAATAATTTATCTTGCATTTTCTTCTACTTTCACTTTTTAATTATAAATCATACGAAAATAACTATTCTTTTGATTATTATTTCTCTATTACTTCTCTCGAAGAATATTTCTATGTTAGTTAAAAGCAAATGAACTGTATATTCTGAAGAATAGCATGAGGAAATCAGGAAATAACTATAAATCGTGGTCTGTCGTGGGCTTGATTCAAAGAACCGTGACACAGTTCTTCGTTTATATCGAGCCGGCGCTGACATTCACCCAGTTTGCCGTTTTATGGATAACCATAGCGGCGTGAACTTTTCATTACCTCTGATTCCCTTGTGTTCCTACATATGCGTTTTGTTCATACAAAATGTGTGTAAAATTATCATTCTAGCATACTACAATGGAAGATACATTGTTTCTTAATAACTTAAAATTGTTTATAACAATATAAGAATTTTTCTTCTTAATTATAGTTAACCTCAAAAATGTATCAGAAATTATTTGATTTATTTTATAATTATTTATTATATTATGTAATAATTATTACTATAACATACATAACAATGACAATAATTATATTTATATAATATAAATGTAAGAATATAAATATAATTATATTATTTATGATATTTGTTATCTTAAAACTATTAAAATGTAAATTGTAAAATAAATATAGTGGATAGATCATTAATTTAATTAAAAATTTTATATTGACTTGTTTTAATAGATTTTTTGTTATAATTTAAGTTATTGTTAGTCAGTTACATGTAATTTACACTTACAGTGCATGAACACATACATATACACAAGGAAAACACAACAATGAAATCATGAAAAGTCGCATAAAAGGCAAGGAACGCGCGGAATGCAGCACATGGATGAATATTCAATGCGGAGTAGTTCAGTCACAGTTCCTGGAACTGCATCTCATAATAATTAACAAGTTTCATAATTTTCAGATGGGAACTGTTGCATGTATTGCATTAGTACCTTCTTTAATGATTTTTAAACATTAAAAATCTTTTCGAATACACTCTAACCCACTACAATAATAATATACTATTAAAATACAATAACAAAGGAAAGAAAAATTTAAGAATATATATGAAATAGTACGAATATCTTTGAAATGAAAGACAATTACAAGATTATATGTTAAAATAGTTTAGTATTATTGTTATTATTATATATTACTTCGTGTTATTAAGCTTGCTAATGTTAAAAACATTGCTCGGAAATTAACTTTCCTTAATGTAACTGGAACGGTGATTAGTATAATGGTTCTGCTTAGGAAATTTCATTTAAGGCGAAATAAGTTTTCAAAGGACTATTAATAGCCATTAATTGTGGTCTAACCTAATTTAGCAACTATACACACAATGATGATTTGAAGATAAAAATAAAGAAACACGAAGAAAAAAAGATGATAGCTGATTCAGATGTAGCAATTCTAAATATAATGAATTAGACAATAGTCTAGTTCTTTAATTAAATATTTCGTGTCTTCGCACTTCTAATGTTTACGCTGCGCGCGCATCTCCTATACGACGTGAGAATTCTCGAAAATTTCACAGAGTCAAACGGTTTTATGGAGCTTAATGAATTTTTTAAAGATATATAAGATTTATGTACAATTTGTCACTATTTTATTGCCCTTATACGTATAGCTAGATCTGTCTATCTTTTTTTGAATTCTGTGTTTCTAATAACAATTACACTCAATCACACACAATAGACGGAGAAAATCTGCGTATAAAGGTTAATTTATGGATTTTGCTGGTCAGAAAATATCTAAAAGTTATTTTTATTTGGTTCTCCTTTTTTATTTAATTTATAATATTTAATATATAGGAACTAGAGTACAATAGATAATGAAGAAAAGAAGCCACCGAAAGAAAAGTTTAAATAGACCTAACATTTAACGGGTGTGCATGATTCATAAGCGGAATCAAGTGGTGCACCTTTAAAGGGCATCGACATACGAATGGAAGACTTTCTATATATTTTAGTCAAAGATACGCAAAGAATACTGGAAATTAATATATGAACTCGGGAAAGAGAAATGTAAGCTTAGATCCTATGATTTGAATTGCACATAAGTTCACAAGAATAAAAATGCTTTTTGTAGTATTTTCTAGGTATTGTTAGAACCGAATAAAATGATACATATTAAAAGACTGCTGTTTATTAAAAAATGAATTGATTAATATTTCGGAGCACCATTTTTCCATATCAAAAAAGTCACCTAAACAAAACAAAAATTCACTCAAACTCTAAGGAAGTAGTTTGTGTAGGATGAATTGCTCGCCTGCAGGTGGCCAATCATTGCACTTTCAAAGCTTTTCGTCTAAAAAAACAAGGCGATATTAGATATATGTTTATTAAACAAAAATATTAAACAGCACTATCTGCTTCTGCTTTTGATTGATCTATATTTGTGAAACATTACTTTTTACCATTAAATTTTACTTTTTACTAGCAAATAATTGCTAAAATAGTAATGTTAGCTTTTAGTTGTGAAATTTGTATATAATGCCTATAATAGTTGTCAGTAATTTTATATTTGAAATAAAAAGTATCAAACAAAGAGATAAAAATATAAAGTCAAATAAATAATAGAAAATATTATATATTAATAATTTTTTATAATTTTCTATGATTCTTATATATTTGCGTTTAGACGTAAGTATATACTTTCTTATAGGAAGAAAAGGGAATTTTAAACGATCATTCCTATTTGCTAAGGAAGTCACGGTTTCCTTTGATCGAATTATTTTCTGTGGGTAAAACTACGAAATACAATGTAGCAGCCACGTATGTATATACATACGCGTGTACATCATGTCGCCGCTGTATATAGTTATTCAATGACGTAAAGGTCGTAATACACGTCGTCACGAGTGGAACACCCACGCGAAATCACGTATTTCTCGAAATGGCGTCAATTATCATACTACTAATCCCCAAGTCGTAACGTTAATGGTTACTCTTCCGATATCGTAAAAAACCAATCTTCTAAGTATTTTTCTAATATTCACGTATGTAAAATATTGTAAATGTATACAACATTCTAATCTCTTTGTGCATGGCTTTTAATTTTAATGATACATCATTACGTAACTTTGTTATTATAGATCTTTTTAGTAGTTTGATACAGATTTATCAAAGCGTTGCACTTTACGCTTCATTTTTCTTTTAATACCATTTATTCGAATGTCTACCTCCTATTTGTTATATTTCTTATATTGTGTTCGGTATCAGGCTTTCTGTGACTTACAGAGAAAGAACTCGCTTTAACTCGCAAAGAAATGTAGAAACACGGCTTATTTCACAGCTTAAGCGACAGAACTTAAGTAAATAAACTTTAACTTACATCGTTATATTAGTCGATAGAGACGTCTTCTGGGGTCTTCTAAAATTTTAAAGAAAAAATTAAAAAAGAATATTCTAATAGCCATAGGAAAATGAAAACATTTCGCGAATATTTAAGAAGAAAATTTGAACTTTGAATATCGAAATAATAAGAATCCATTAAGAGCCAATGTTGCATTACTTTAACATTTCGTTCATGATTATATCACTTTTGATAATATTTCTTCTTTCGTCAAGATCCTGAAGATTTTATGAAGTTTGAGAATTACAAGTATTTATTATTCTAATATCTTAAACTACTCCGAATATTTATAATTCCTTTTAACTTGATAAAAAAATATTTGCTTATTACTTAATATTTGCTCGTCATTTTTCCCTTGATTTTTAATGGATCAATACATAATTAAATAAATTAAAATAAAATTCCGTACACCACATATACAGACCTCAGAAGTCGCACTTTAGACTTACTAAAGAAAACCGAAAAAAAGAACACAAATTCCTTACTTCGACTTATTACCTGTTACCAGGGGTTCCCATTTGACGACGACAATTTCGGACGACGCAGTGATATTCGTGCGCATCTGGACGATCTAGCAGCCCGCCACCCAGAATTCGCCGACCATCTGTTAGGCCCACCTTGGGGTGACATCCCCTTTCACGGCTCTTTCCGTAACCGAAATCGTGACTCTGGAAACAGAGATCGTAATAATCACCAACAAGGTTACTCTGACGAGGACGCACGAAGCCAAGCAAGCGGAAGTAGCGCTGCCAGCGGAATCAGTGCCTCCAGTTCGCACGGTGAAGCGGACATTAATCAAAATCAACAAAATAAATCCTCCAATTTCGAAGAATCTCATAGGAAAAGTCAAATTCCGCAATACGGATTACGTAATACTGTGGATATAGGTCAGCACCATCACAACATGGAAAATCTTGACAGAGGAAATCGTGGACAGCGTTCAATGTCCGCTCCTCCAGAGAATAGACAGTCTTCTAATCAACAACAACCTCAACAGCAAGAGCAACAGCCACAGCAGCAGCCACAGGGTCAGAGATACGTTTCTAGGATAGATATAACGCCACAGCATAACCAGCCTCAGCAACAGAAATCACAGCAGCAACAATCGCAGCCACAACCACAAACTCAGCAACAACAGCAGAAACCTCAGCAGCAAAGTAACGTTAGGCATATTCCAATTTTTGTTGAAGGTAGAGACGAACCTGTGCTACCAAGAAGTTTCGACGACCCGTCTTCCTTCAGAAGAGCACCTTCTCCTTTCAGAAGAGAACCTTCTCCTCCGCAGTTTCATGCACCACCACACTTTCAAAGAACATTTGGTCAGCACTTTGGTGGAAGACCCCATCAACGGCCTCCACACTTCCAAGAATCTTTCTATCAGCCACCAAGCGGCTTTGAGCATCCTCCCAGGAGACAACAGCAGACACACACTTTCCAGCAGCCTAGACAGCCTCAGCAGCAACAGTATTGCGAAAGACAGCCTCAACAACAATATTATACTGAGAGACAACCACAGCAGCAGCATTATGAGCAATCCAAGCAACAGAAGTCTCAACAGCAGGCTCCACCTCAACAGCAACAGCAACCTCAGCAACAGGAACCACCAAAACCTACCGTTCCAAAGGATCCTCTAGAAAAAGTAGCTCTTGTACAGAAGGAAGTAGACTCTCTGGCTGAACAAGTTAAACAGTATAGTGGTAACTCGAGGACAGATAAAGAATATATTTATCTAGATGAAATGCTTACTAGGGAACTGATTAAATTGGACGATATAGAGACAGAAGGTAGAGACAATGTTCGACAGGCGCGCAAGAACGCAATAAAGACTATACAGGAAACGATTAGTTTACTGGAGTCGAAGGCGCCGCTTCCATCGCAACAAGTATTGTCAGAGGAACAGGAGAAACAAGAAGTTTCTAATGTAACCGAAGAGGCTGAACAAACTGGAACACTAAACATGCATCATAAAGGAGAGGATCAGTCTCAGAATAAGGAAGCAATCCCACTGCCTCCTGCACCATCATCTCCAACGAAGAAATCTGAAGAAGCTATCGAACCTTCTACAGAAAAAATAGAGAACTCTGATACTCATCACGCTACGAGTCAACAACAGGATGCTCGGCAGGTTTCCAGCGAGCCTATTGAAACGACTCCAGCGAAGATGCCGGAAATGACGTCCATGGAAGTTCAGCAGATTCCAGACGAAGCTATTGTAACTGAACAGAAGGAAGTAGAAAACGCTCCCGGAGAAAAGGAACAGGAAAACACTACTGAAGTAAAGGAAACAGATATTTCTGCTGAAAAGACCACTGAGAACATTCCCTCTGAGGGGAATAAGGAAGTAAATCCTCCAGAAGAAAAAAAAATAGAGAATGTTTCTGAGGATAAAAAAGTAGAAAACACTTCCAAGGAAAAGAAAACTGAGAAAACTGATAGTAAACCGCCTGGCCAAGAACAACAGCAGAAAACCGAGGAGAAAATGGAGATAGAGAGTAGTGAGGTAAAGCAGTCTCCCAGGTCAAAAAAAGGAAGGAAGACAAAGAAACAGTCTGCTCCAGTGTCTGATAAACCTATACCATTGCCAGCTCCGGAGAACACTGAAGCTAGTGCAAATTAGAATAGCTGGCAAGAAGAAATATAAAGTGTCACGATTCTAATTGGACCAAAGGACGCATCGAGCAAGTTATTCTGTTGGTTGTCGCCAGAGCAGAATATCATTATTTTGAAGAACAAGCGAAGAGAAGCCTTTTTTGATGGTCGTTATTTCTTCTCTGTTTTGCGATCATTCTTGGTGCCAGATCGATAGGGACGTCGTGGATCGACGTGAAAATCGCACAATCGTCAGCATGGAAACCACGCCGGCCGGAAACGTTCTTTTGTTGTGTTTCGTTGCTCCTTCGTTCAAGTGGTTGCAGTCAGGTTCAAACAGGAGAAGAGTATATATGTTCAGACAACCTTATAACATATAGAATCGTACAACGAATATCCAGCACGAAAAGGCTGTCACGCTGTTGCGTTGCATTTGGACGAAACTGTCCCTCCTGATTTCTACTCTTCACCCGTGCTGATTTCATGGGAAGTCATATGGGAAAGAACATAGAATACTCAAGGAATTGTATTACACGTTTGATAATGTTCAGTGCAAAGTTTGATTGCACTCGAAGAAATTGAAATATCGGTCTCCTTTTAGGAACAATTCTTTTCTCTGTTTTTATTATTACTATTTCTTCATTTTTAAATTAGTCACGTTATTTATTAGATATATTTTTTCTTTTATTGAGACGTTGATTGACTAGTTAATTGGTTAGATAATGACTGAGTAAAAGCAAAGGAATGAAAAAGCATTTTTTAGGAACCGATATTTAGTGTTTTATATATTATCGAGACTGGCATGTAGTCAGTATTGATAATAAGATTAGTGGGAGAAAATTGACACGATTATGAAAATGTTTAAACGTGTTGTATAATGAAAATGATAACGATTATCCACAAGGAAACGCGTTGAGGATGTCGGAGTCGAACGTTCAAGAATGGAACGCGTCCGTTTCTTACTATTAGTATTACAGCGCACGGCCTGAAGCATGATAAAACTAACTTTATTATTATTATTATTATTATTTCTATTTATAATTTATTGTGCGTCTGCTGAACGATTCGAGCACGATTTTCGTGCCCCTAATATAATAGGTTATTAAAAGAGGATGGTTCAGGAATTTATAGATTCTTAATAACGAAGAGAATGAACAAAAAAATTATACAGCTTCACATAGTTGTGATTTCTTAAATATCTCTGTAAGCTTTTTCCTTGATATACTAAGGAGGAAGAACACTAGTTTAATATGAAATGTAGAAGTGATTGACTAATTTTATAGTATTTATAAGATAACAAAATTATTTTTACTATGCAACATTTTCACTCCAAGCACATATAATTCATAACATAGTTATCTATGCTGTATAAAAATCGAATTACATACAGTTTAGCCTGAAACAATCAATTTCTAGGTAAATCAGTTAAGTTCTTTTTTACTTGATTTACTGTGTAATATGAAATCTGTGAATTTCTGAGCCACTTTATTTCAATCCCATGTGCAAATCTGTTGTCACGAAACCATTGTGTGTGATATACGAACCATGTATGTATATATTAAGATCGTATGTGTTCGTTTTATGAAAAATGATGTATCCCGTTCACAGTTACCTTAAATCATTGTTCGATTTTTAACAATATTAAGAAACTTGATTCTTATCTCTTGAAAAAAAGAAAAATTGTCGATAACAATAATGTATAAAATACATTATTCTATGGTTCCTTGTTCAGGGTGATACTCATCATTATTCTTCCTTTTTTCTTTCTTCTCATTTTTTTCTTCTTTTTTTTTTGTTTCTGTATGATATTTACGTACATATGTATCTGTAGAAATCACTTGCTCTCAAGCAGAAATTTTGTATTTTTTTCTGACGTGTGAGAAGTGCGCACACACACGCGCGCGTGTGTGATCTGTGGTGTGTGATGTGTGGTGCGTGTGTGGTAAGAAAGAATAAATGTATTATACAAAAGAAAGATATGTGAGAAGGAGTGGATGAATAAATGATCTAACTATCAGTAGAACATCAGTATAAGTGCGGCGAAAATGTAACTATTTTATGAACAAACGCATTCGATTGAAAATACAATCTGCTCGTTTGAATCATATATTGATCCTAACCTAATCAGATCATATTAAATCATATTAAAAAGTCCCCGTCTCCTGTGTTGATAACCAAGTTCCTCTGCGTCCATTAATTACGTCATTTGTGTAGTCCATTTTTTTAAAGTGGTATAAGTCTAATTTTGACTTGTAAATTATACCATAAGCTTCATGATAGACTGATGTGTTCTCATGTTATATTTTAATGGTATATAGTTAGACATATTAGTATCTCCAAAAATTATTAAAGATATATTGCTTAAAAAAAAAATTGCATAAATGGTTTTAGATTTAATGTATACATGTATAATAGATTATTACAAGCAATTACAAGTAAAAAATACTTAATACCTAATACTTACTATCTACAGTAGTACTTACTATAAGTAAGAATATCATTGATAACATTAACTTTTGTATTGCAAATGCAATTTTTATAACTTTGCTTTTAGAAATATTTAAATATGTATTATGTATCTCAGTACAAGAAAAAATGGACTTCTACCATTAAAAAAAGAAAGAAAAACCAGTTTTTCTATAAAAGTTTGTATAAAATGATTTTAGAAAATTTTTTATTACAATACGAATAAATCATTTAGTTATCAAACAAAATATTTAATATTGTAATAATTAAATACAAACGAAATGATAGAATTAATGAGAAAAATTAGAAATATAATGAACAAAAACTAAAATGTAAATGTAGGTTGACAATATTGATTTGTAAAATGATTTTGCTAAAAGTTTTGCAAGAGAACTGGTAAATATCGAATTCGGAACAGAGTTTGGCTTGTTCCCAGTGTAATAAACCGAAGCAAAAATTTCACTACGTAAAAGATCATTTTCGAAAAATTTTGGGAATACTTGAAATGCTTTTAATCCTATTTTTGCTACTATATGGGGGCAAAGTTCACTTGGACTACCAAATCGACGACAAAGAAATTCTAAATTGAAGAATCCGTATTGTCTCTTACATAAAAAGAAGTCATTTACCATCTGTATATGTACATATTCACAAAACTCATATAAAAATGACGATATGTCTGAAAAATGTGAATATATATGTTCAACCTAACCAAAGGTAAAACATTATTTAAAATGAGATATTTTTTTCGAAGAACGCAGCTTTTGTAGCGAAAGTACTGGGTACCAACGACCTGCTAACAACAACATCCGCTACATGTATACGCTTTTTCATTGCCAAATTCCTGAGAATTGTTTGAAGTTGTAAAATTTCCTTAAAATATTGTAACCATAAGCAAAATATTAGCCGCAAGCTTAAAAGGGAAATTGTTCAGGAAAAATTGGTACATAATACTTTTTATAATTGCAAGAATCATAAAAGAAATAATAAGGGAAGTTATAAAAAATGAGACAGCTTTTTTACTACTCAGGAAATTTAAAATTATAGGTTAGATTATTTTTCATTTGTTAAGAAATGGCGCAGATGGATTTTCAAATTTGTCGCTTTATTAAATCCATGTTTAAGTATGAAGTGAATAAAAAATAACGATCACTTTAATGATTTCCTCTTATTTTTATTAAAATTCTTCAGTACACTTAAAAAGATAATATAAAATAATATATAGAAAGACTCGGTATATACTTTAAATCATTTTTTATTTTTAATAGAATGAAGTATTCAATACTATAGAAAAAAAGCATGAATTACAAATAGCAAAAAATTACCAATTTTCATAAAGCTGCATACATATATAAATTTTAAAAAACATTGTTCATATCAATTTCTTACAATTATACAATTAAGTTTATTTGACTTAAAAATATCAAGCCGTTTTAATTAATTATTCATGACAATTTTTAAATAATAAGAATTTAAAGAAGAAAAAATATTTAAAGATAGATTACACTGTTAAACAAACTGGACGGAAAGAAGAACAAATGGTTTCTTCGTTAGTAACCGAACGTGGTTGAAATCTTGGCACGATAGATGCGTACATGTCATCTAAAAATAGCAGGCCTGCTTAGACTTTGAGAAAAGAAAGTTTTTGCGCCGCGACACAGACCACCTTCGGGAAATCCCCGTGAGGATGTCAGTAAGCGTCTTTACTGACATCTAGTCTGGATCGGTGAGTTCACTTTGGCATTTAAACCAAAAAGATAATATTCTTAGAATAAGCAGAAAGAATTGTAACAAGCTACTGAAACAAATTCCAATCTAGAATGAATCACTATCCTATATAGAAAGTTCAAACATTTTTAAACATCGAGAGATCGATTAATATGTATAATATTGAGAATTAATGAATTTAAATATCGACAGCAAGCTATAAATCTAATTGAAGTCCATGTATTTATTTGCTCAACAACTTTGTTTGTGGTGAAATTAATAAAGGAAGAGTTCGCTATATAAACAAATAATTTGTTGTTCTTGAAGATTAATTTGTTTTTTAGCAAAAGCGTGAATATCTGTTATCAAATCTGTCAAACTGAGATTGTTACAAAATTATTTACTATGAAAGTAGATGTAATGCAACAATAATTTTTAATGACACGCATTAATACAATCACAATCTTGGCTTTAAACTTACAGCTTACTATAATTATGTATTATTTATTTTATGTGTAAGTGTACTTTGCGAGGAATGCTTCTATTTAAATGACAGTATTCCGTTATCAAAATCGCAGGTGACGATGCTGGTTATAAGTATTGTTTGTAAAAATTATACAGAAAGTGTTTTTAGCAATGAAACTGTACGTGAATCATTGCGAAGCGTTTCTCTAAAGTTTCTAACTATCCCATTTAAAATTGATTGCGTCTTGTTGCTGGTTCTCTTTTGTGCATTTTCAACTCCAAATCATCGTGATTATCTTCAAAGCATACAGGACAATATAGATCGCCGTGACAACCTAAACACCGCTGTAGATCTTTAGTTTGTTCACACATTACGCAGCTAGGTTTTTCATCTTCGTCATCAGTATGTTTTGCCTCCTGTTTGTTAAATTTTAATCAGAACACTGTATGTACATATTTATCCATAAAAATCAGTTTCACATACCTCAAGTTCCATTTCTTCCAATTCATCCTCTTCTAGGTCTTTCTCATATTTTTTCTCCAATTCTGCTTCTGCCAAAGCTTTCCCAATTAATTTCTTTGTTACGTGTTTCTCATCATCATTGTCATCATTAGCTGAATGCTAAAACAACAGAAATTTGCTTATACTATTGTTCATCGTACAAACTTATTGCTTATTATTGATTTTATACTTCTATAGGTTTTTCACTAATGCCTTGTAGTGATCTTAGCCTCGCTTGAATTTCGCTAACCGAATCGCTGCCCGAGGATAGTTCCAATTGATTCAAATATTCCTGTATTAAATCGTCTGTTTTCTGTTGGTCTGTTCTGGTATCTACTTGCTGCATCTACAAAGAATAATACATTTGTTTCGATCATACTTAGAACACAATAATTTTATGGTATTCTTTTATTACATATTAACGTACATTTATTCTATGCTGCCTAACATCTGGGTCTTCATCCTTTAGCAATGCTAATCTCCGTTTTATTTCATCTACACTTAAAGCTGTAGTTTTGTCTTCCTCCTTCAATTTTCTTAATCTTTCAACTATCTCTTGATCAGCTGGTTCTAACCCAGTTTTAAATCTATCCCAATGATTTGTATGTTTGTACATTACAATAGGAGGCTTCACAGGGTTCTCCAACAAGTCCAGTCTATATGAATCAAGCATATTACATTGTTTTACTTATAATTATTCACAAAAGTATTGTTACAATTATAATAGAATTTTAAAATGTTTTATCAAACATATGTAATATATACATAAAAGTTTTCTATAGTAACTGTAATTACAAATATTTTCATGCTTATCTTTGAAGAACATATTACTTTTTTGTAATGTCCACTGGAGCCATTGGTTCTTCGTGGCCATTCATTTCGATATTATTATTAAAGCTTGAGGTACTTGTAAAATTATATTTATTAAAGCAACGTCCACAGACCTTTTTCACCCCTTTATCTGGAATATTACATTTATATTTGAGGCACTTACTGCAACATGAAAAACCACAGCCGGGGCAAGCAACCTAAGTAATATCAGAACAATGAAACATAATGGAAAGAAAAGTTAAAAGCTATTCTAATTTCTGATAATCAGATTAAACTAACTAAAAAAGCTATGTGCAAGAAATGATGTGATGATATGGTACAACTTAACCTATAAATTGCAAGCGATTCTATTAACAAAAATGATAACTTACTTCTCTTGTGAAGAAGGAAAATTTCGTTTGACAAATATTACAAGACATACTGAATCTATTTTTCAAACTTTAATACGTTGTCATCACAAATGTGACAGAAAATTATTCAACATATTTTATCTTTGAAAATTTCTGACGTACAAACGTTCGAGTTGACAGAAATCGATTACAGTACCAAATTCGAAACTGGATAAGAGAAAGAGAATATATGCTTCATTTTAAACAAAATTATTGTCAAATATTTTATCTCAATTAATTACGTATCATATTGCTAAACAATGAAAGTAATAGATAAAGAAATAAGATTTTGAAATAATGAACATAGGGAAAGAAATCTTTATTTCAGAAATATCTGATGTCACTATCTTACAGTTCTTCAAGTTGTATCATGCTAATGCCTAACTTCAATCATATTAAATGAATGAAAACCACCAAAGTGTTTATATCTACATTTCACTATTGTTCTTAAGGTTAAACTTTTGGGAACCAAAAATTATTGACATTATTTCTGCAGCCTTGGAATACTTGACGTATAGAATTCGAGAATACTTATAACAATATATAACTAATGTATTATACTGAGTACATTGTTTATCATCATTTTCATTTTCTTTTCCATGTTCTAATTTTGTTTAATTTTTAACAATTAACTATTGTTTAACTGACTTTGATCGATATTATAAGCTGCAATTATTATTTAAAGGCAGCAAATACAATAATCTGTCCACTAGGCTTAGTTAGTCGATAAGTTAGTTCTCTGCAAAATAAATTATTGTTCTAAATCAACAGCTCTTACCGCTTTTCTTTTTCCATTTTAGTTAACGATACCTAAACTAATTATTAAACGATATCTTTTAAAATAGTGTTATACTATTACTTATACTATTATTATATAGTTAATAACTATCCTTTTTCAGACATATGATAGGTAAAACTTAACAACTTTCCTTGAAAATAAGAAGAAAATGACCTTATCTTTTATAATGTAAGTGATTTCTAGTTCCTTTAAAACTTTTTAATTAATTCAGCTGCGTTTTCCTCTCTGTACAAGAAAAGAAAAAGATTTATAAGTCTTCCCAACTTTAATTAATGAATTTGTTAATAAATCTGATGACATAATACAGATAATTTGCATCTTTAAAGCTGCCGTCGATTATATACAACTAACATTATTGCAACACAATTAATAGCAATATGTTTGTGCATAACGTTTATGAGATATTTGTTTGTTAATTACTGGAAAATTAGAAAAGCTAGTAATCGCGAAAATATTGTAGAATCGCAATACTCTTGTTACTGGTATATTATAAAAAGATCTTCATAAACGTTCAATAAAAGTTAATCAAGTAATTAATTAATTAACAGCCCGCACAGTATTTCTAAAATTACCGATACCAATCCTTTAATGAGGAGTGTCGTACGAGGGACTGTAACGCAACCTATTATACCTGTTTAAGATTAGATTAGTTGTAAGTTTGAATAATTCATCTGTCCTAGTCTTACATTGTCTATCTCTCCTACTATCGTTCATTTCATCTATCCTCGTCACACATTGATGCTTTCCTTATTCCACTTGGGCCTTACTCTGTCCTTGTCGCAGAATAATGCTTTTCTTGTCTACGAACGTCTAATATATCGCCATCTACTGCTGAATACACCAAGTTACGGTTCCTACCGCTAGATGGGGCACATAGATTGGTGTAGACAAAGAAAGCATCAGTGTGCAAGAAGGACAGAGTAGGGCGTGAGTGGAACAAGGAAGACATCAATGTGCGACAAGGACAGATGATGGAAACAACAATGGAAAGAAAGATGGACAGTTTGCAACAAAGACAGACGATACAGACAATAGTAGAAAGAATGAGTGACAGTGTGCAACAAGGACGGACGATATGAACGACAATAGAAGAGATAAATAGTGTGAGACTGGGGCAGATGAATTGTTCAAACTTACAACTAATTTAAGGCTATTTTTTAAGAATTGGTAGTTCTAGAAATGCTGAGCAGACTATTAAATAATTAATCACTTGATTAACTTTCATTGAACGTGTATTAAATTCTTTTTATAATATACATACTATATAAAAGTTAAAATTTAATAATATTTTCGCGACTATTAATCTATCTTACCTAACTAATGCTATAAGCGTGTAATACAATATATTTGTTAACTGATCCTTATAAACTATTTATATAAACTTTAATTTATTCTTTTACATTTAATTTCTACATGGTAATATAATACCAACAATGTATTTTATAAAATATTTATTGTATGTATGTATATGTATAACATTTATTTTGTATATAAAATATATACAAGTGTATAACGTATATGAAACAAAATATATGAAACAATATGCGGGACGTTTTTTGTTTTCTTGTCTTTGACGAGAAATTCGTATAATTTGATGAAAATTTGATGAAACAGAATAAATTATTATTTTAAATAAGCAGCGCTAACTGTTTCCCCCTTCCCATTACGGTTAATGATCTTTGAACTAATTGTTACAAATTTTCTTTTAAAATAGTATTATATTATTATTTATACTGTTAATAGCCGTCATTAGGCAATTGTCGTCATTCAATCCGATTGTATTTGTTCGAGATTTGTGATAATGAGCTTGGACTCCAGGCGACAACCAATCGCCTGTCACATAAAATTAAGGCTTAGGTTTTAAAGACACGAAGGTTGAGCCGTAGCACAACTTTATATTTCTTTTCTATCGAACTTTATTAAATAATACAACTTTATAAGCATAGTTTGCGCGACTGATCTGAGAGATGTTGACTGATGAGAGTTTGTAATTTCAGTCCCGAGATGTTCTCGTATTATTACGAAGGAAAGCTCGGTGTGGGTGTGCCCTTTCCCGTTAGGTAAATACCCGCCTTTTCCTCGTAATTTGTACGAACGTATAATAAACCTAAGGACTATTTCAAGGACCGTCCATAAACCAATAACACTTACAGAATTAATAAACTAAAAGTTTAAGTTTATGGTGGGTCCTTAAGGTTATTGACGTGTCACACTTCCCGCCAGCAAATTTTCCCTCAAGGGCGGCTAGCATCCTTCTCTAATCGTCTTCCTCTAATGTGGACGCTACATAGTGTCTTTACGCTCAGTGAACATTCTACGTTTTAACAAAGAGTTGGTTTAATAATACTTGTACCGTAGACAAGCAAGTTGAGTACAACTTGGGCTTTGGGAAAAGCGCATTTTGTTATCCCGCTGACCGCGGATTCGTTATTGAACCTAGGATCATTGTCATTAGCATCTCGAATATCTAATTACCACGGTTACTTGTTAAATTCTGAAATAATCATATTTGCGCTAGTCAAGTTTTTATATGTGACTTTAGATTTCGTAAACTTTAATATTAGACAAAAATAGAACCTTTAGAATAGGTACAGCGAGTTTCTCCTCATTCTTTTATTTCTATTCTTCTTTACCAATCTTTTTTACAAAATATTAACTTCAAATTTTCTTTTTATCTCATTTTGGATTTAAAACATACCACTTTTTTTAAAAACTGCCACTCTGTATTTTTTCAGCGCCACTATATCGAATACATTCGTATCTTGTAACCTGTTACCTCGCGAACGCCACCTCGCTACGTCGTAGTCGTGTGAATGTGATCGAACGAATCGAACGCATCGAATCCGTGGTGGAAAGTAGATACACAACCACAATTGTTTCTTTTTCTATCTACTATCTCTATGTTGCGATTGTCAATGTAAACTTTTCCACGTTTTCTTCACTTACGAAATTTCCGATTCACTGGAAACACAAATTCGGTCATAAATATAAATAGATAATGGAACTATAAATTCAGTTGTAAATGTAAATGGTGACTAAAGTGTTAATGATCGATCAACGATCGATCTATCAAATGATTCTGACACGATCTATTCACAGTGAACAACGAAGAACCGTGACAAGATCAATTATTATTTCTCTCTACCTTATCATCTCGACTTAGTGAGTCATAATGTGGTAATGACATTTGTGTCACACGCGGCATACACTCTACATTTCACCTGCTAAACGCTTTCTCAAGGTCCCCGTATTTATATGTATGCATCTTGAGACAACTTCATTTAATGCGCCTACACATCATCGATGGTTGTACATTTTTTCATTTAGTTTCTTAGAGAATATCTCGTTCACTAGATTCAATTCGATCGCATCACAGCTTTATTTACACTGGACTGGACCATTTTCATTCGCCTTATCCCTCTCCCAACGATACACGTAAGTGTCCCTACACGATTTTCCATTTCTCACGCATTAATTTCAATCTCGTTCTTATTATGCGTAACACGACTCGCTGTTTAATCTTCTGAACTCTTTTTTGATTATTATGCGCGTCGTAGAATTGCATATAGCTGTTCTTTATCGTCTCGTGATCGTTATCTACTTGGTAATAATAGGTTAGTTTGACATCGCGTTCGAAGTGTGTAGATACGTAAGATACGCGTAGTAATAAAATATTTTTTCTCGAGCGAATGCAACTTTCACCGACATTGTCACTGTAATTCTTGTACGTTATTCAAAAGTTTAATTTATTTTGTGATTTGTATTTTTGACTGTAATATTTTTTGTATATGGATTTTTGGTATTTTAAGCCTATGTATGTGTAATGTAAATTTGTTTTATTGTATAGGATGCTATCGTCTCATTAATGAAATAGAAGAATTTAGAGCTGTGTTTAACATTCAAGGTTAATTAAGATATTGGACAAAATCAGAATATTGTTAAAATGATGGACATTGATCCACCACAGTTTGTGTCTAAAGATGATGAAGTTCAATATTGGATGGAACTTGCTCACCAGATACATAGAAGGTAAATTATTTTTACATTTCTGTGTATTAAAAATGCAGTGTATTATTATATATTCATTGAAAACTATAGAATAAAATTATATGTGTATGTATGTATATATGTATTATATATGATGAGTTGTTCAGAAGATACATTTAAAACTCCATGGATTTAAAAGTATAAAAAAGTAATGGTTACAAATATCGTTTTTTACAATTTACCTTACAATTCACTATTATTTATGTTACTTTTAGAACAAATAAATTTATGAAGATCAATAATTTGTTTTTTAAAAGTTAAACAGTTATTAAGAAATTAATAAACAATAAATTAGTTTGACTTCTCAGAGACTCGTATGCTTCTTCACAAATGCTTCTTCATAAATATTAATTTTATAAAAAAATTAGTCTCGTAGTTAGTCTTTGGTCAATACATTTAATAAATCTTATTGTAATATTACAGGAAAGAGGATATAGAAAGAGAGTTGGAGGAATTTCAAGAAAATTCACAGCTCTTAGAGAAAGAACTGGAAGCATCCTTAGAACAAGCAGAAAAGAATAACAGGGAATTACGACAACGAAACACAAGACTAGCCACTGAAGTTGAACAATTAAGAACAAGATTAGATCAACAAACAGCAGACTGTGCAATGTTTCAAGGGAAAGCTCAGGACTTACAGACTCAACATGACCATTTATTAAAATACATAAGGGAATTAGAACAAAAAAATGACGACTTGGAAAGAGCTCATAGGTATTTGAAAATTAGATTGTTATTTTTACATCTGCTAAGTAAATGTAGAATATTTAATATAATATGTATTCTACTCATCTTAATTTTGTAGAATAAATAGGGTAACAGAGGAGGAGATAGAAGCCAAACTTAATTCTGCCATTGAAAAGAATGCTTTGTTAGAATCAGAACTTGACGAAAAGGAAGCTCTGAAAGTTATAGTACAGAGATTAATGGATGAAATTAGAGGTCGAATAACTAATTTATTTGGATAATTGATGATTAAATCGTTTCTAATAATTCATTCATTACAGATTTAAAACAGGAAATTCAAGTTCAAGAAAGGCATCAACCAGACAATGATAAGTCAGCTGATAGAGTTCGTAATCATGTTGATAGTAATAAACTTCAAGTCGAATTGGAAACACATATGTCGCCTAGTAGCCCAATAGTACCACAATCTATACCTCCAAATAATACAGCAACTTCGCCATTAAAAAGTAAGATCCATAATACTCTTCGTAAAACTAAGCGCATGTTTTGCTTTGGGCCTAAAAGCTGATCCTTATCATTATTAAGGATAATAATCAGCAAAAATAGTACTTATCTCTAACACGTTAAATGGATAACAGACAAAAAATTTTAATCTAATTAACTTTTTAATGTAATGTATATTTTTTGTAACCACTTAACATTTTTTTCTTTTATGATAACTGAATTTGCTTATTTATCGGTATTTAAGGTTGACTAAACAAAAGATTGGTCTAACATTTGTGCTTGATTAATATATCTTTATATGCTTTAATTAATTTCATCTTTCTGTATATATATCTATATATATGATATTGTTATCAATGAAATAAAAATTATTTTAACAAACTTGTTCTTTATTTTAGTTTTTAAATATTATACTTCAAATACATACTTTTTTTTGTACTGAATTATCATAGTATAGTATCTTTACTTCTTATTTTGATATCTTATCAGTGAGTGTCTGTAGTAATTTGTATCTTTTTTCCTGTTTGCAATTAGTTGGAAACAGAGTTGTAGGTGGTGTAACTGGAAACAACAATAATAATAATAATAATAATAATAATGTGAATTCGCCACTGGCACCATGCACAAGAATATTAGCAATGAATATGATTGGTGACCTTATGAGAAAAGTTGGTGTAAGTATAGTCATTATTTTCTATATATATATTACAGTGCTTTTGTTTCAAAAGCGTTTTTGATGTACAAGAATAGCTTAAAGCATGGCTTGTGTATCTTTGAGTTTTAAACATTATATTTTAGTTGCCGTAAATATTGTGTTTTGCACTGGCAACTGTTTTAATTTGTATGGTTTATTTCCCTTTTGATTTTGTCTAAGCACCAGATTTATTTTATATGAAATACTTATAAGATTTTTTAATCATCAGTTGATGATACTGGTAGTGTGATGTAGCTGGTGTTTTGGTAGCTTGACAGGTGGATCTGCATGGACTGTAGAAGGGTAAAGTGCACTTGTCCGGGTGGGAAAAAAACAATTTCCACTACACCTACTGATTTACCATCCGTCCAGGTTCACATACCTACTCATTGTATACGGCAACAACCTAGATCAACCAAGTGCTGATCAAGTTTTGTGTGTACAGGTCTTTATTTGATTTCTTTTGCTTTCTATTATGTTTTTTCTGTACACATCACACACGGTTCCTTGCTTCCTGCTTTAATTGTCTCCCATGTAACTAGTATCACCAACTCTAAAAAGCCCTTAATATTTTGAATAAGGGTAAATAACGATATTTTTAAGAAGAATGATAATATTTCATTTAACAACAAATGTTTGATCATTTAGGCGTTGGAGAATAAGTTAAATACATGTCAAAATCCATCTCGAGAGGATCAAGCCGTTCGTGATCTTTACAGGTAACATTAGAACAATATTATAATTTTAAAACGTCATTGTTTTTATAATGTTATGCACTGCGTGTATTCAAAGCAAGAAATATCATGTATCAAACATCCGAGAATGAATGTTGAAAAAAATTAATAAGTGTTTTGTACGAATATTTTCTTTAATGAGGGGATTTAAGATGATATTGTTTAAAATGATACATGATAGTCGTACTAAATCAACTGTACTTATTATTAGCTTTATATCTACTTTTAGTTACGTAGTGCTTCTTGTGAACATTTAATTTACGAATTTATAGATAATGATAGCTTTTCATGATCCCAATTCTGTAGCTTTTTAGTTGTTATAAATGTTCAAATTATTAAGAAGACTGCATCACACTTCGAACAGCTCGTTTTATTGCTTATGCTATTAATTAAAATGGAGCATCTTGTTGTTTTTATGTCTGTATGTGTAAATCGTTCTGTATGTCTAGTTGTTAGTAATATCCTCAGATAAAGCGATCAAAATTAATGAATATGATATTAGAAAGTAAGCTAAATTTCAAGAGCTTTCATATTAATTTCATTTCCTTTAATATCATTTAATAATTCTTTCTGATTCCATAACTCAACATTATCGTTTATTATATGTTAATTTAAATGTATGTCTAATATAACAGGCTTACAATTAACTGTCTAGCTTTCCTTTGTGATTTAAAAAGTACAATATACTTTTATTGTAATCTGTTGAGATCTTAATAATCAGATTTAAAAAAAAAGCTTCAAGTAATTTTAGAGTATTTTAAAGTACATGTAATGTATTTGTAAAATACATTAAGTTAATTTAAAGTATGCTTCTTTATTTAATCCTGTATTTTTTTTATAACAAATTATGAAAAATTTTAACATGGTTATTAAGATCTTTAATCAAATTAATGTCTATTTCAAATAGTTCCACATACGTACTAAATGTATGTAGAATATTTGTATGATATGTAAGACTAATAGAAGCACTTACTATTGTATACATACATGTTATAGATATACCAAAAATAATTTTTAAAGACCAAGATTTTCGAATTAATTGCATTACAGAATTTAGCTTCCAAAATTAAAGTCTATCTTTGTAAATTGAAATGAATGTGAGTTTTAGTAATGATCTTCTATTTTTAATTTTTTCATACATTATAAAATAAACGTAATTTAAGTATCCCTGATATTATTAAGTTCTTTCAAAAAAAAATCTTTTCAAAAGCTACTAGATTTTAATAGAAGTAATTACTGAATTTTATATATCACCAACATGGAAATAAGTTAAAAAACTTAAATATTCCATAGTATATATATAGTTGTATATAGTAACTGTATATACTTCTTAAAAGTAACGATTTGTGCAATGAAATTAAAACATTTTTGTAGATTATAAGACGAACTGATGTAAAGTATGTAACATCAATTATAATGACTAATTTGTTACTAAAATATCTTGTTTCTGAAAAAGTGTTAGTAAAAAAATTGTGTGATATGTAAAAAATTCATGGCTCTAAAATCTACTAAAATTTTAATGTTGAATTGGAATAATACTCTTTGAAAATTCAGCTTTTAAATTGATGTCTATAATTTATTCTCTGTAATGTAAAACAAAGAAATATTAATTAACAAACTTTTTTGCATTCATAACATGTTGCCCTGCATGATATTTGTGTATCATTTTCTTGTATTTCTTGTCAGTAATGTTCACAAATTGTATACAATAAAATTGACCAGAATATTTTTTATATCAAACTGCTTACATTATATTAAATCTACACAATATAGAACTTACATCTCGTCTTTGTTTCATTCAAGTTATGTATTAACATCAAATATTTAATGTAAATAAGACACATCTTGAACACACATTTTGAAAAAAAGAAAGCGAGCCTCATTGAATTATTATTCAAGGTACCTTTCATACGCATGTTGTACAGTTTATGCACTATTCATAAACGGCATTCTATTCATATGCAGCATTTCTCAATCATTTGCTCCGCTTCTTCTCTCACCATTAGTTGTGTATAATTTAATTTATTAAACAAAATAATCAAAGAATGTTAGATAAGACATAAGCAATTTAAAACAAAAAAGAAACATTTCTGAAGTATCTAAGTATTATATTGCATGAAATACTTTTAGAATAAGATTGGGAAATGCTGGTTTAAATAAACATATTTGTTTATTACACTTAAATGTTTATAAACAATGTTTCCAACCGTAAAGAGATAACGAAAGCATATTGGATTTTTTGTAATTAGGACTAGACGGCAAGTTCGAGGTTTTGCCTCTGGCAACAGCAACCACATTCGATTATAAACAACGGATAATATTCCAATAATAAATTTATGCATTATATTCGTATGACTACTAATTCGTGTTATTTTAATTAAAAAAAATCTCACTCATTAATTTATTACAAATTTCTATAAGATACAAAGAAAACTATTTAATTTAATTATTTAATTGCCTTTTACATGAAGTTTGCAATTTTTGAGGATTACTTGTCTCTTTTTCATCACGGTTCAGAAGTATACTTGGTAATATTTTATGGAGGAAATTCGTAAATAAACATTCGAGATTGTAAGTATTAATATCATAATTTAATAAAATTCATCATTGTGATAAGTGATAATTCTAGATAATTATTACCATTACATTGTGTAGATATTCACAAATAATATTAAGGGAGAACACCAGTTATCTTTCAGATAAAATTTTGCAATTTGGAAAAGATTTTTATCAAAAGATTATTATATCGTAAAATTTATATTTGTTTCTTTATTACTTCACAAGAAATTTTAGTTTGAAAAATTCTTTTTGTCAGAATTACTAACATTTCATTATAACAGTAACCAGAAAAAACTACCTATTCTGTATATTGTGTATTTTTAGGAGATCCATTATTTTTGTTATTATGTATTTTATATTATTATGTTTACATATTCGTATCTTACCAATGCCTTCAACTTATGTTTGAATATGTGTTTTTTATGAAAATATTTAAATTTTCCAATTATGCAACTTTCTTAAATGTAATCTGTTTCTTATCATAAAAATAATGTTCTAGTTATTGAAAAAAGAAGTATATTTATAAAATTTTATCTGAAAAATGACTAGCAATCAAATTTTGCCTAAGTATCTTCCTTTAAATAAACAATTTGTGAGCTCCAGTTTTGAATGTATAGTTTCTAGCACAATTAAAACTTCAGCTATGTTAGAAATGATATTGTAACACTAGTGCAAAATTTAGCTTTTATGGAAGTTAGATATTTATATATATATATATATTTAGGTACTTATATACATATGTCTATTTTTTAATAACAAAAAGATATCCTCTTATGTCGTAAAATAATTCAATTTTATACTTTAAAATGTGTAAAAGCTATTTAATTATTTATTTCTGTATAATTATGTGCTTTAAGCCACTGTATAATTATAAATAGCTTCAAGTTCTGAGATATTTGTATGAAGTAGAATCATACTAATACAACTAAAAATTTAACGCATTCGATTATATTATCGGGTGAATCGAAAATTATTAATTTGTAGGTTTCGCTTAATATATAAAATAAAAATTGAGAAATGGAATATTATATTCAAATACAACAAATATTACCAATTTGCGCTAATTAACTGGGAACTGAATTTTCGAATTGTAACAAATTACGCAATATTTGTAATATAAATTTGTAAAAGTATAAAATGAAATATTTGTAAAATAAAAATATTGTAAACTATCTCTCAATTGATGTAGGATTAATGTTCCTAGAACCTAATCTATCTTAAGTAACAGTGCATATTTCTTAACAAGATAAAAAAAGGTAAGTTAGTATTATTTTGAAGATTTATTTATGAAACGTTTATCTTTACACGAACAATGAATAGTTGACTGATTGAAATACCTTATGTAATTTTCATACAACCAGAGTTCTAGAATGGTAAACACTACATTGAATTCCTACAAAGAAACTGCCTTACTCTCTAATGCATATTTCACTAAGTATTTTATCAATAATGATAATGATGACGAATATAATAAAACTGTAATGAGAAACTAAACATTTTCGATCTTACTCAATCTTAAGAGTACTTTTAGAAGAATTAACAATTTCACTTGTCTTTTATCACGATCATTTACCTTCCGGTTTAGACTTTTTTTATCGCTCTTTTTATAAGTATTCTTACATTGTAAAGTGCAAAATGACAAAAAAGATGTGAATGAAATTAAAGGATTTGTAGCTGATAACTTCTCGAAGAAATAACATACTTTCTACGTTTGTACAGTAATACCAAAGGATGAGAACTACCTACATATCAAAAACAGATTATACCAATCTTTGTATCTAGTTTTCCAGAAATCTGAAGTTTAGATACATACTATAAAGGATGATCATGTCATAACTTGTACACTGTTATGGAGTACAACATAATATGTAGTTTGGAATGAAAATGTTTCATTCACAACTGTTACGAATGATAATAATAATAGTAGTAAATGGTATGTATGGGAATTACATATTGTTTAAGCACGCTCGCCGCGAATTCGTCGAGCCAGCTGAATATCCTTGGGCATGATTGTAACACGTTTCGCGTGGATAGCGCACAAATTTGTGTCTTCAAATAAACCAACCAAGTATGCTTCCGATGCTTCCTGTAAAGCTCCAATTGCAGCACTTTGAAAACGTAGATCAGTTTTGAAATCCTGTGCAATTTCACGAACCAATCTTTGGAAAGGTAATTTTCTGATCAACAATTCAGTCGATTTTTGATATCTTCTGATTTCTCGAAGAGCTACTGTACCAGGTCTAAAAATTATAGTTTATTATATACATATATTATACATAGTATTTATATATGTGCTCAAAATATTATCTAATATGTACCTGTATCGATGTGGTTTTTTTACTCCACCAGTAGATGGTGCGCTCTTACGTGCTGCCTTTGTGGCTAATTGTTTACGAGGAGCTTTACCTCCTGTTGATTTACGAGCCGTCTGCTTGGTACGTGCCATTGTTTACTCTGAAACAGTACAACCTTGATTAATAAAAATTTCTTTTAAATGGAAATTTTGAAAATACTGTTTTAATCGTATAATCTTTCCAAAACAAAAAATTGTAATTGATCATATATAAGTATGAGAAAAATAATTTCAACGCTCCAATTCCCATAGTTCAGATTGTAATGCAATATAGGGAATTCTGTTAATTCTTATGTTTTTTTATACAAAACAATTGATTGTTTACAAGTTCATTTTGACATATGTAATGACGAAATATTGAATAACGAAAAAATATTCGCAATACTCAAAGATAACACCTGGTGCTATTAAATTTCAAATACATATAAAAATTCAAACATCAGAAAAATATTACTAAATACTATTATATAGACCTTACAAACCTTAGTTTGTGATCTTACAGACCTTAATAATATAGATTCAAATTTTTTCCTTAACATTGTGATAACACAAAACACCTTTTCTGAGACTACTAGAGAGCAATTATATTATAAATTAAAATATTAAAATAGATACTAAACAAGTCACTAGAATGCATCAGAATCTACAAATTATCAATTCACATGTTATAAAATAACTAAAAAGTAGCACCTGCAGGTGTCTATGGGAACTGGAGGGTTAAAGGGTACGCTTGATAATAACTGAAGTAAACTATAACTTTTCGGAGTGGGACTTAAAAGGATGGTGGGGTAGAAAGGGTGGGGGTACGTTCCGTTGCTGTTCGTGCGGAGGAACCGCGCACCGAGGAACGCTGCGCATTGCGCAATGCACAAACTTTCGTTCTTCTTGCACCGACGCGATTGAAACCCATGCTAATCAGAAAAATGTATCATCTTAACAATCAACTGTTTCCCTAATCTCCTATTCATCTTCATAGTAAACATTATCACAGTCTATGAAATAAAACGAGACGAATGACACTGGTGAACTCGAGGCGAGTTGAAAGCGTCGCTTGTAAGAAAGGCTCGTGAAACGATTCCCTCCACGGAACGTCAATTGCAAAATGGAGGCAATACGACAGTACGTCGCGTTCGGAGGTAATAACTCGAGTTTCCCAGCACTTTTCACACCTTTTTAAAACACGTTGTTACGTCCATACACTCCTCGATACCGGTAATCACACACGATCATAAATAAAATGGATTTTCGACAGATTTACATACCAACTAAGGGAAAAATTCTACGAGAAGCGAGAGCTAGCACTATCCGTTTCCTTGTACTTCGATGGCAGTGGACGCTCTCCCAAGTCACGACTCCCTTGTCCCTACCCCCTAGAAATTAAATTGCGAGAGGCACGTAAGCCCGCGGTGCACTGCATCCAATCGGATGTCGGATAGCAGCTGAGCTTCATAGTGTAACTCATGCGATTGGTTCAGCCTCCTACGCCTAGAGTGCGAACCGTGAAGAACCCTGTCAATTGTAATATACATGATACTACTCACAGCAGCAACCTCGTTTTTACGAATAATAATTGTCATCCTATTCTTTGTACAAATTAAGTAAATCAATATGTTTTATGTTTTAGGGAAAAATTTGCATGAGCATTGTAGAGTATTAAGAGGTGTTATCCTTGTAACAGATTGCAAAAACCGAGTTGAAATTTATAGAGCTGGGCACAGAGTCGTTTCGCGACTTTTGTCATGTAATTCTAGCTACAATGAAATCAGTCATTTCGTGGAAACCTCCAGAAAGATATGGAAAATCTGTAGAGGATATGTATAAGGACACGTTATCTTGATATTAGACTAGTTATCAAGATAGTAATTTTTTTATTGCTCTTCCAAATGCATGTTCTTGGAATGGACGTTGTGTGATTATTCTGACCATTGGAAGCTTCTTCTACGTTTTCTGTTCGGAAAAAATAGACGCCATTGTGTGTCTAAACGTAAATAATGTTCGAACAATGTCGAGTGATATCGAGCGATATAGAGCGATGTCGAGCTGGCGAAATTATTGAATTTTGGCGCTTTTGTCAATTGAACTTAACGGCGGAAATTGAACTGTACTAAAGTCAATTATATTAATAAGTTTCTTGATTTTTTGTGGTATTGTGACCTGAATTACACTTCCATTGTACCAAAAATATTTTGTAAATATAAACACAATATCAGATATTAATTGTTATTAATAATATACATCGATGAATTTCTGATGTCTTTTGCATTTCCCATTGTACGTTTATAAAACATATGTTATACTAATATTCGTTTCAAAAAACAATAAAATACTGATATAAATATAAAATGATATTTACATTGATGACGTAATCCTTATAATTACCGATCGTACCAATGTCATGTATTCGATAATTGATAACAATAGCAATAAAGATTTACGTTTACGAATTTTTTGTGAAACAAATTTTTTTAAAAAATACTTTTTTGACAAATAATTGTAGTTATAGATTTTGATTCTAATCGGAAAAATATATTTAAAAAATGATTTCATTTCGTCAGGAAAACAATTAAAGTTAAGTTTATTAAAAAATTTTATAGATCATTTACATTAATTTAGTGTTATGAATTGCGTTTTTTTATTACTATCATTATAATTATTAAAATAATAACCTAATTAATAATGACATGTAATTTTATGGTGATAGATTTGTTAAT